GTGAAGTTTTTGGCCATTATGACTTCATATGTTCATCTTGCCCCTTTTTTTTCTCCTTCTGGGAATACCATAATGTGCATGATGGTGTCCCAGAGGCTGTTGATCATTTTTCTTCATTCTTTTCCCTTCTCTTCTGACAGTATAATTCTGATTGTCTTATCTTCAGGTTTTCTAATTATTTATTCTGGCAATTAAATCTCCTGTTAAACTCTTCTAGTGAATTTTCATTCCAGCTATTGTATTTTTCAGCTTCAGAATCTCTACTTAGTTCTGTTTTATAATTTTCATCTCTTTATTGATATTCTCTATTTGTTCATATATTCTCCTGTTTTCTTCAGATTTTTGGTCCTATTTAAGAGAGTTTAGTTAGAATTGTCTAGTAAGTCCACTATTTGGGCTTTCTCAATGAAGGCATCTGTCAATTTATTTTTTCCTGTGAACGGGCCATACTTTCTTGTTTCTTTGTATAATTTGTAACTTTTTTTTGAAAACTGGACATTTTTAATAATATAATGTGATAACTCTGGAAATCTGATTCTCTCTCTCCCTGATATTTGCTGTTATTAATTGCTGATACCTGCAATTATCCATTTGTTTGGTGACTTTTCCAAACTAGTATTAAAAAGATTGTATTCCTTGTCATACGATGTCACTGAAGTCTCTGTTTCATTATCTCAAAGATCAGTCAGTAACATGACAGAGATTTTCTTAAACACTTGGAGCCAAAAAGAAAAAGTATACTTCTCTAGTCTTTGCAGTGTGGCTCTGGGGCATTCCTTCAACACTAAGTCAGGCCGTCTATACTTCTTCCTTAACCTTCACCTCTTCATTGCTTATACCCCACAGATCCACCACAGGTGCAAGAATAGGGTCCTCTCAGATCTTTTCTAAGCACTATCCATTCCTACGCATATACATTTCACCCCAGCTTCCCCAGTTGTATATGAGACTCTTTCCAAGACCTTACTCTCCCAAGAAATTTCCTTCCCAATCTCCTCTTTTCTAGGCTTTTGTGTCTATCTGGTGCTTGCTCCATCCACCATCCCTTAATTCAGGTGACCATAGGTAGCATATGTCATTTAAACTTTTTTTTAACGAAACACTGCAAAATTCACTCATGCTGCTGCATGTAGCCAGAGTTGAATTTTTCAATAAATCCTGCTGCTGTCCAGAAAACCACTCCAGCCCAAGTTGGACAAAACAAAGGCCAGCCTCTGTGCCAGTCCATCAGAGAACTACCAGACAGGTCTTTCACACAACCATATTATTGTAAGAACAAAATCTGCGTTAGGTCCCTGGCACCAGCAAGTCACACCAAGAACAATAGACACTGCCCACGTGGCTGCCACCATGCTGGGAAATGGAGGATGTTAGGCAGAGGAGCAAAAACAGGACAGTGCTTTCTTACCAAAATCCAGCTGCTTTGTTCTTCATTAAACACTCCCTTGGTTGCTATAAATCTTTATTAGATTCCTCAGCTCTGGAAAATGTTTTCATATGCATAAATATCATACTTTTCTTAAAATAATAGCTTGCTAAAGCAACAAACAAAACATTGACATCTCTCTTGGAGCCTCTTTATGCTAATACAGATCACTTGGCTTTCCTGAGCACATGTCTATAGAAATTTTTTAAGTGTAATTTCTTGAATCTCCACCACCCACATCATTCTATGCAATTATCTCAAACATATGACTTTCTTCTCCAGGCAAAATAAGGATCTTCCAAAGATATGGAGCATTCTGGACATTCCAGGCTTTCTAGTCATGGAAAAAATAAGATATTGTTATCAGACTTGGGGGTAAACAATCATAGTGAAAGATGACTCCTTAATTACTTTAGAGCACGTGAGTTGCTATAAACAAGTGGATTCACCTATATCTATGCACAAACATGGCTGATTTTGGAACTAAGTTGCAGGTTCTTATACTACAAAATTCCAATCAACAAGCTTAACCCAAATAAAGATGACAGTTCAGACAGTGGGGTTATATTTATCATTATAACTTCTAGCCAAGCATGCATCAACTGTGTATTCATTTGAACAAAAACCATATTGCACTTAGGAAGATGTCAGCCCTCTGGGTGTAGGCATCATAGCCTAAAAGTTATCACAGGAACGGCTCAGGACCTGTTCTGCTGTAAAGTGTGATGACAGAACCATTGCAGGGATACAGAAAGTTATTTAGGGATAAAGCATCTGCTTCTGCCCATTGTCTCCAGAATGCTGAGCTACAGGAGGAGACGGAGGAGGAAGCAGCAGGACCAGATGGCTTTCAAAGATGAGCCACCAGGCACAAGCTCATCCTGCCCTTGTCTGACTCTCTTTATGCCTTCAGATGTTTGCCCTCACCCATCTGAACTATATGACTCAACTGGAAGTAGAATGAGTGAAGAACATTGGGGAAGGTTTGTTTAACTCTTACTTCTCGAGGTCTCAATTTCTAAAGTGATTCACCCAAGGGTTTTCTCACCTAGAGTCAGCTCTTCTCATGAGAATCTAAAAGAGACATAGAGACATCTGCCAGTTCCAAATCAGGCCAAGCCAAGCTTCACTTAGGCTTTTGTCACATTGTCATTCTCTGTCAAATTTCAAGGTGACTGAACACCTGCTTTTCCTTAGCTGAAGCCAGACCTCAGCCACACCCTGACTCTGATTATCCTGATTAAGGATAATCCACGAAGACCCCCTTCCTGTTGGGCAAAGTCCACTGCAGTGAATGGCCCATGATAGACAAAAGCTGTCTATAGTAGACGGTAGATATTACCAATAGAATTGGAAAGAACCCACAGACCAATTTCCATCAATATCACAGTAGTGTCTCCAAGAAACAAGGTTTCCTGAAGTCATTACTTGTATCAAGCCCCTTGTGATAGTCAAGGTGCCCCTGGGAACCACCCCACATTCTCTTAGCCTCACCTGTTTCTTTTGCAACCACTGCTACTGGGACCAGTTCTGTGTAGAATCTGATCAGCAGGTGCAATCAGCCAGAACCCAGGCTAAGGATCCCACTGCCAGCCCCAGCATGGTGGATGTCATGTGAGAACCAGCTTGGCATTTGTACATGTACAAATGGGAGTGGGGAGACTATGATTAATGCCCTATGGGGCAAACCTTTGACCATGGAGGGGACAGAACTGATGGATGAATGTGTCCCCTCCTTTCTTCCTTTAGGCTGATGATCCTAAGAGACACATCCCAGGCAGCCTGGTCACAGGGGCTGTGCCCAGGTCAACAGCATGCCTTTGTAACTGACTCTCCTCCTTTGCATCACATCCCTAACCTTCACTTCTGTTCCTGGATCACACTCCCCCAGCAAAGCATGTGCCCCTGAGCCTTGACTATGCTGTCATATCTGCTTTTTTGGAAAACCCGGGCTAAGACTCTAATCTATTAGCCATCTCCTTGTATCACTGCCTGAATTTTCATTTTGTCACATTCTGGAAGAGAGAAACCTCATCAAAGGTTCTATGTTCTCAAGATCCTGAAAAATAGCAACCCTCATCTTTTGGATAGAAAGAAAGAAGGAAGAATACAAAGGAATAAGTGAGTGAGAGGGGGAAGAGAAGGAAAAAGAAAAGAGAGAAAGAGGGGCCGGGAGATGGGAGGAGAAGGCTGAAGGAGGGAGGGAGGGAAGAAGAAGGAAGGCAGAGGAAGTAAGGACAGGAGACTCTAGATCTCTCCTTTTTACTCTGGAGACAGCAGCCTGGCTCCCCTGATGGGCAGGCTGCTTCTTTAGGCACGTCCTGCCCAGGCAGTGTAGTTTTACCTCATCTACATCTTTATACAGAGTGTTGGGCTCTGTTTTATCCTGTAAATTCACTTTCTCCCTTTTAGGACCTTGCAGGGTGCATGACACCCTCAAGTTCTTGCCAATAACAAGAATAGCCATGCACATTTAATAAATTCTGGCTTATTCCTAATGAGACACTGAGCAAATGCCACGTTGATTTCTCAATCTTTGCATATTTTAAATGATGGAAACAGAAACTCGACTAATTTTCTCAAATACCAATGTCATCACGTCATTTGCCTGCACAGCAGCATGCACCTCCCCCACCATCATTTCAAATCCTAAGACTCTCCATCTCTAAATTCATTAGCCTCTGAGATTCCCCTGGTGTTACACTCAGGGCTTCCCATTTCTCTTCTTTCCTGTCTTTATCCAACTCTGCCCCTCCCCTGGATCCAAGCTACCTGGTCATCACAGCACAAATAATGGCGCCAATTCTGACCTCAGATCTTCCTTCACTCATTGCACCTACAGTGGAGCCATCTGATCAGCCCTTACTCCACCTCCTGTCAACAACTACACACGAACCTCATTACAGAGAAAGGAAGAAACTACCTAACTCTTATTTCACTCTATTACTGAACAATTATAAAAAGAAAAGGGATATCCTTTGGGACTTCGAATTTTTCGTGTAATACATACTTGGAATGTTATTTACCATCGTGGTAGACTACATGCATAATCATTTGTATGGGATAGTCTGATACTTTGCGACTCCATGGACTGTAGCCTGCCAGGCTCCTCTGTCCATGGGATTCTCCAGGCAAGAATACTGGACTGGGTTGCCATTCCCCTCTCCAGGAGATCCTCCTGACCCTGGGATTGAACCCAGGTCTCTTGCATTGCAGGCAGATTCTTTAAAGAATGCAATGCAAGAGACCTGGGTTCAATCCATGGGTCGGAAGGATCCCCTGGAGAAAGGAAAGGCTACCCACTCTGGTAATTCTGGCCTGGAGAACTCCATGGACTGTATAGTCCATGGGGTTGCAGAGTCAGACACGACTGAGTGACTTTCACTTCACTTCACTTCTTTACCATCTAAGCCACCAGAGAATTCAACAATTGGGAAAGCTGTTTTTGTTTTCTGTGTATCTCGTATCCCTATGCACAATCTAAATGAACTTTCTTTTTCCTGCTTTTATGCACCCACATTCTCAGTTCATCCCCCCACACCTAGATCACACACCACACCAAGTAAATGCTCACCCAGTATGTCAAAATGTGCATACAAGGGGTCCATTCACATCCCAGATCAGAGAGGCTCAACTCTGGTCCCTCTTCCAACCATTTCTCTAGGATTCAGCATTCATCTTGTGTCACCTGTGGAGACAAATACTTGGTATTAGGAAGAAGCTACACCTCTGACTTTTAAAGCAGAGAAAACTGTCAATTTTTAAAAAAAAAAGCACAATGTGAGAGTTGCAAGTTAAGCTCTATTTGGGGCAAAACGAGGACTGCAGCCTGGGAGACAGCATTTCAGACAGCTCTGAGAAATTGCTCCAAAGAGGTGGTGGGGAAGGACAGTATCTATGTGATTTTGGTGAAGGGGGCGTACATGCAATCAAGCACATAGTTTTTTGCTAAAGGTTTCTGCTGGTCAAAAGGAGCAGTTTTCACCATAAAGGATTTTAGTGCTTTTCTAGACAGGAGGAGATACAAGAATTGGGCTTATAACATTGCCTCCTGAAAATAAACTATCTGAAGACCTGTCCTGTCAGTGTTCTTCATACCTTTCCCCCAGCACAGAGTGCCTCAGTTCTGCTCTCCACTCTAAACTCCTTTCAGCAGGTGTTGAAGGTCAGTAGTTGCAGCAGCACATGATTTAATCCTTGTAGAAGTAGATGCCTCCCTGGTGGTTCATATGGTAAAGAATCCACCTGCAATGCAGGAGACCTGGGTTCAATCCCTGGGTTGGGAAGATCTCCTGGAGAAGGGAAAGGCTACCTGTTCCAATATTCTTGCCTGAAGAATTCCATGGACAGAAGAGCCAGGCGGGCTACAGTCCATGGGGTCTCAAAGAGTCAGACATGACTGAGCGACTAAGCACAGAGGTAGATGGCAACTGCCAATTTGTAGCTGACAAAATGTTTTCTAGATACAAATGTATGCTTGTATGTACACATGGATGCATCTGTGTATGTATCTTTCCCCCACTTTGCTGAGGGTAAGGCTAGTGCTTAGGGATTAAGTCCCCACTGAAGCCATTGAACTTTAACTGGGAATTTCATAAAACCACCTAATCGATGTCATCACATCCATCTCATTCCACTCATCTGCTTCCTGCTAGGTGGAAGTTGCCTGCTTTCCTCCAATTGCTCAAACCCAAACCTGGAGTCAATGCAGGAGACATGGGTTCGATCCCTGGGTTAGGAAGATCCCCTGGAGAAGAGCAAGACAACACACTCCAGTATTTTTGCCTGGGAAATCCCATGGACAGAGGAACCTGGTGGGCCTCTCTGTGGTCCATGGGGCTGCAAAGAGTCAGACATGACAGCGACTAAACAACAAAAACCTGAAGTTAGCCTCAGCTCTTCTTTCTTTCACACGGTGTTCCTTCAGCAAATCCTATTAGCTCCACCTTCCAACCATGACACATCTCGCCACCCTGGTCCACACCACCATTGTCATTCCCCTGAACTCTAATTTGAAAGTGAAAGTCATTGAGTCATATCCGACTCTTTGAGACCCCATGGACTATACAGTCCATGGGATTCTCCAGGCCAGAATACTGGAGTGGGTAGCCTTTCCCTAATCCAGAGGATCTTTCCAACATAAGGATCAAACCCAGGTCTCCCGCACTGCAGGTGGATTTTTTTTTTTTTTTAATTACTGAGAGACCTGGGAAACCCAAGGAACAGGCTAAATAGAATGCCAGAGGGTAATTTCTAAGGGCAATGTGAGGTCGCTGGTTACCTGGGTGGAGACGTGTGCGTTCTCAAAGACAGCCTTTCCTTGATGTGGTTGTTCTCCGTGACACGGTCATGCAGGTGCTTTGGTCTTTGATCATTAGATTTGGCGCACCCTGCACCTATGTGGCAACCCTCTCCCTTCCCTGTGCTTCTATAACTTCTTGTTAATTTTACTATAACCTTTGAAAAAAATAATGTATTTAATTGGAGGCTAATTGCTTTCTAATAGTGTGGTGGTTTTTGCCATACATTGACATGAATCAGCCATGGGTGTACATGTGTCCCCCATCTGCTTACATTTAACACATTATCAGGCAGTTTCCATAGAAGTTCATAAGAGGAGTTGTAATTATGTGTAACTCAAATTGGTTTCTCAAGAGGAGAGGTTGTATCTTAGTCATTTTCATGTCCCTAATATCTCACATACTAGTTGGCATGACTGAAGCATTAGAAATATGTAAGGAATGCATACTTTTTTCTCTCAGACTTGAATTTGGATTTTTATCCTAAATGTTGAAAATGTGAAAAAAAAAAAAAACCCTCTCATCCATTTCATTCTTCTTGTGACAAAAGAAAATCCACAAAAACAGCAGGAAGGAAATTGTGCACAGTCTTAAGATTCCAAGTCTTCATCATTTTATCCATATTCTNTTTGTCAAAGATAAGGTGCCCATAGGTGTGTGGATTTATCTCTAGGCTTTCTATTTCATTCCATTGATCTATATTTCTGTCTCTGTGCCAGTATCATACTGTCTTGATGACTGTAGCTTTGTAGTATAGTCTGAAGTCAGGCAGGTTGATTCCCCCAGTTCCATTCTTTCTCAAGATTGCTTTGACTATTTGAGGTTTTTTTGTATTTCCATACAAATTGTGAAATTATTTGTTCTTGTTCTCTGAAAAATACCATTGGTAGCTTGATAGGGATTGCACTGAATCCATAGATTGCTTTGGGTTGTATACTCATTTTCACTATATTGATTCTTCTGATCCGTGAACATGGTATATTTTTTCATCTATTTGTGTCCTCTTTGATTTCTTTCATCAGTTTTTTATAGTTTTCTATATACAGGTCTTTTGTTTCTTTTGATAGATTTATTCCTAAGTATTTTATTATTTTCATTGCAATGGTGAATGGAGTTGTTTCCTTAATTTCTCTTTCTGTTTTCTCATTGCTAGTGTATAGGAATGCAAGGGATTTCTGTGTGTTAGTTTTACATCCTGCAGGCAGATTCCTTACCAACTGAGCTATCAGGGAAGTCCTAACTCTATTTTAACAGCCTGCAAACATTCTCATCACTTGTACCCTCCCTCCCCCTTAGCCTATCCTCCACAGAGCAGCCTGTATTGTAGTCTCATTAAAACATAGTTCAGATCATGTCACTCCTCTGCTCAAAAGCCTTCCACGGACCCCAGTTCACATGGAACAAAAGCCAAAATCCACAAAAATCAACCTAGGTCTGTCCAGTCATAGGGGCACACTCCAGACCACCCTCAGATTGGGTGATTTGTTAGAAGGACTCATGGAACCCACTGACAGCTGTTATGTTCACCTTTACAATTTATGACAGCGATTTTATCAGCTTCAACACAGATTAAATCAGCCAAGAGAAGAGGGGAATGGAGAGAGGTGAAGACAATTAAACGCACAAAGCTGCCAGTCATCCCTCCCAGTGGAGTTGTGGACAGTGTGACCTCACAGATCGAGTACTGTCACCCAGGGAAGCTCACTCAAAGCTTAGGGTCCTGAGTTGTTATTGGCGCTCAACCACATAGACATGATTGACTGTCCACAAGGCTGGGTTTAGTCACCACCCCCTCAGGAAATGAAGCTGCCATCCTAAGTTACATTATTGGACCATTGGTGTGACCAAGACCAAGGTCTGAAAACACATTCAACCTAGATCATCAGCTCCCAGGACTCAACGGCAAAGCCAGACCCCTCTTTGGGTAAGGTTAATACAGCGTCTTTGATGTCAGGCTCTCTTCAGCCACAAAGACCTTCCCTGCCACTGATCTCCCCTTCCTCCTTGTCTCCAGCCACATATGGTGAATATCGAGCAGGCTCGGGGCTGTTCACCTGCTGTTGCCTCTGCTACTCCCATTATTTGAACTGCTCTCGGGTTTGTTCTCTCCATCCTTCAGGTTTCCACTCAGAATGTCCCGCTACTAGTCAGCCCCTCCCCCATCTTATTTAAGGAGCAGCCCCACCCATTCTCTGTGCACACCACCCTCCCCAGCCACCTCCAACATCACTTTCTCCAGCACCACATTTGGGGCCAACAGAGGATGAGATAGTTGGATGGCATCACCGACTCAATGGACATGAGTTTGTGCAAGCTCAAGCAGACAGTGAAGGACAGGAAAGCCTGGAGTGCTGTAGTCCATTGGGTCACAAGGAGTCGGACACAACTGAGACTGAACAATACTGTTGGAGAAGTGTTTGCTACTGTCTCACCCTGTAGACTCCACATTCCTTGCTGACCAGGATCATCACCGCTTGTCACATGCACCACTGTGACAGTATCTAGACTGGAGCCTGGTATGGAGCAGGCGCTCAGTTTAGTGACTGAATGATTCTATACAGCCCCGAAGCCCAAATGCAGAACCAGCCAGCCACATGGGGTAAGGAATGACCTCCAGGAGTGGATGTTGCCTCTTTCAGACTTTAATCAGATATAATCTTTAAAAAACTTATTTATTTTTAACTGACAGATAATTGCTTTACAATATTATGATGATTTCTGCCATCACATCATCAACATGAATCATCCATAGGTACACATGTCCCCTCCCTCTTGAACCTCCCTCCCACCTCCTACCCCATCCCATCTCTCTTTTCTAAGTGGTGAAGAAAGAACTACTGTCAAAACCTGATTTTACACTGAACTTACCTTCTGTCACAGAGTCTGCCCACTCTCGGAGTCTGGGAGTCTCTGGTTTATTTTATTTCATTCTTTTTTGTTTTTCCTCTTTCATTTACCTGCTGGTGATTTTCCAGGGAATTATCAATGACGCCAGCATTTGACAGATGGGAGAGTTGGGTGGGATGATCCATCAGGTCCTGGCCAGCTCTTATAGTCCAGGCTCAGGTTCATGACCTATTCCTCTTGTACCTTTCCTTCCGGCCACGGTTGTTCTGTGGTCTTCCCTCCCTTCCTATCCTGGCAGCCAAGGTCCCCAGTGACACAGTGGCCCTGTCTAAGAGGCGGGAGGAGGGGAGCCATGTCTAACCTTAGCATCAAGTGTCAGCTTTCCCTTCCTGGGCCCAGGGCATCTCTGAGTTGGACGCACAGTTTGATAACTGTGGCCCCACGAGAAACTCACAAGGTCTCAGAGCTGTTCTACAAGGCCCCCCCTGCAGGCTGCGTCTCCTCCACATACGCTGGTGCCACCTACCTGCTCCTACAGCGGCCCATCCACCTCCATCCTGACAAGAAATCAACCCCCTCCACGTCCCCTAAATCATCTATCAGAGCAGCTCATCTCAACCAGTAATCAGGCCACAAGGCATAAATCAAACACACCCACACACACACACAGTGCCCAGAGGTTTCTGCTTGTTAGGAGCCCAGAGGAATTGTCAGGAACTCAGTGATTTTCCACTCACACTGCACATCAGAGTCACTGGGGCAGGTTTTCTAAAACGCTGATGCCTATGCCTGTCTCAGACCACAGACTCACAGTTCAGGGACAGGAGGGATGTGGTGGGGCAGGGGGGGGGTACCCAGGGTGGTCAGGGTTCCTGGGGAGCCAGTGTGCAGCCAGCAAGGATCCCCCTGACTACATTGACCACAGGCTCTCAGGAGTTTCCTGCGGACATGACCTCAACCCACCAAGTCATGACCCCGGAGTGAACCCTTCACCCATCAAATGGGCTCAACTCTGCATCATGGCAGCTCTGCTAGTGGACCAAGGAG